GATGCCATCGCCAATAGTACCATCTTCCAGAGATGATGCTTCTGGGAATAATGGCAGAAAACATGGTACCAGACAGGTAAATCAACTACCTGAAAGGGGGTTCCAAAGAGGATGGCTCTAGACTGTTCTCAATGGTAGCAGATGACAGAACGAGGAGTAATGGTCTCAAGTTGCAGTGGGGGAGGTTTAGATTGGATATTAGGAAAAACTTTTTCACTATGAGGGTGGTGAAACACTGGAATGCGTTACCTAGGGAGGTGGTAGAATCTCCTTCCTTAGAGGTTTTTAAGGTCAGGCTTGACAAAGCCCTGGCTGGGATGATTTAACTGGGAATTGGTCCTGCTTCGAGCAGGGGGTTGGACTAGATGACCTTCTGGGGTCCCTTCCAACCCTGATATTCTATGATTCTATGAAATCAAGGGTTATCACAAAGCCATATCCTCTGTGTCAGAAAATGGCAAGTGCTCCTGTTTGGGGAATTACTCAAAACTTGTTTATAGTCCCAACCAGCTTTGTTAAGATTTGTTTTAAGGGAGACGATGGGTTTGATATATCTATCATTGGATTGATTTTTTCAGCCTACAATAAAGCTACTATAGCACAAAATAGGTTGTTCTAGGTAAATATGATACTTGATGGTGATATGGGAAAGAAATAGCAAATTTCACAAATGACTGTCATTCAACTCCCACATTAAAAGATCTGTCCTTTGTCATACAGATTTACCACCATGTCTTCCGTAAAGCATTCAAGACATTAGCCAACTCTAATATTTGTTTAATTCCTTAAAAAAAACTTCTTTGCACTTCCAGAAATTGCACTGCTCTTGCTCAGTCAGGTTAGGTCTTCACTGGGAGCTGAAGGTGTAACTCCTGGCTCAAGTAGGTATACTTGTGGTAGTTCTCATCAAGTTAGCACACTAAAAATAGTTGGGTAGCCACAGTAGCTCTGGCAGCGGCAAGTGGAGGCTCAAGTTGCTTGCTCCAAGTACAGGTTTGTATTCAGTGCAGCTAGCCCATGCTGCTGCTCACCCCTGCCCATGCTACCATGGCTGCACTATTATTTTGAGCTCACGAGCTCAATGACAGCTAGTACAAGTATGTCTAGCCAAGATGGGAATCATACCCTTAGCTTCAACCATAGGCATAGCCTAACTGTGTAATTTTATTGAAGTTACCCTGGCCTACTTCTCCAAATCCCTCCTACTGTCTTTTTACCTGCTACTTACACCACATCTGATATTTCCAGTAGCTTAATCTTGTCCTTTTATTTGTATTGCTGGGACCGAGCACATTTATGGAAGCTGTGAGACATACATTAATAAAACTAATGCTTCTACACAGGAAATCCACCCATTTGCCTCTGGCCAAGGACCCAGTCTTCTGGGTGGCAGTGGTCAGGCTTCCAACAGGAGATCTGTGTTTACTGGTATCCCATGCGGGCTCTCCAAAAGAAAAGGCCAGTTCCAGATTAAAGAATGTATGATGTTTCCACACCTTAAGTGCACGCTCTGGTCACCCCAGCAATGTTTACAGTCCAAAGGAATCAATGAACATGTACGCTAGTGGTTCTCAACCTATTTACCATTGTGGGCCACATATGCAGCTCTATGTTATGTGGGCTGCATCTGCACAATATATATATACTACCTGTATGGTCCTGAGGATATCACATGGGCCGCTGCTGTGTGCTGATTGGGCCGCAAGGAGCCCATGGGCTGAGAACCACTGATGTACACAATGGACAGAAGGTGGGCAGGTGACCTGAGTGGCTTTATTTAAACTAAGAAGGGGATAGAAAAGTGAATAGAGAATTGCAAGTAGACTAATAAAATAAAAACCCTCACACAAATGAATCCATAATTTCTCCTCTGTTCCCCCAAATGGATCCCACTTTTGCAAGGTCCAACTTCTAACACACGTTAAAGTGTGCTGAGAAGTCATTGAAACAATCTGTCTGAAGTCTACAACTGTTGGCCAGTATAAAGACAGTTGGAGCCATTCTAAGGAGTTCAAGTGATGGGGCATGCCAATATGCAGAGATGAAGGGCATGAAAAATTGGTAGAGTAGAGCCCTCACAACCACTGTGTCTATGTGCACAGGTGAGGTTGAGGATCTTGATTTAGTTAAATTGTTATCAACCCTTAACTTGTTCACTCAGTGTTTCCTAGTTGTAATGGAGGTGCACTGCCAGGCAGTCCTGATGAGGGCAGGGCCAGGCCATTCCTCACTTCTGAGAAGGGTCTCTCTGCTCTTGCTTCAGGTTGTGCATCTGGATCAGGAAGATGCTCTGACCTGGAGTTTTGCCTGTGGTCCTTACTGGCACCACCAGACAGGATTTCTGAAGGCAGAAATCCTAAATGGGGCTTTTGGTGCCTAAATTTCTTGAGCAATTTAGGAAGCACAATTGTCAATCATGGGTGCTTAAAGTCAGGCACCTAAAGCCCCATTTAGGCACCAAAGTGAAAATTGTTTTGATCTAAGGTGCTGATACCCACTGCTCCCACAGGCTGCAAAAGCAGGGCATGTTCTTACCAGAGATGCCTAAAAATTTGGATTTAATTGCCTGAACTCAGGCACCCAATCTGACAATTTTGGTGAAAGCATCAAACCAAATATCTGAAGTGGCCAGTGGAGGGAAGTCTATCCCTTGCTTTAAGGAACCATTATTTTAAGGAACTTTACTTTTTTCCATATCTGACCTTTGGCCCAGATAAATGTTGATATGCAAATATTTACTGCCCCTCTCCTCATTCCCACCCAGTCCCTGATAGCTTTGTCTTTCTCCTCATCACCATCTCTAGTTTGTCTGTGGTTTAGAAAAAAAGATGCCATTTCTCTATTGTTATGTCAGCTTCTTCCTTGTACTTCTCCCACAGGCAATCACTCCAAAGTTTCCCTTGAAACTGAGGATGGAGAAACAGAGGGACAAAGGAGCCACCAGAGGCTGCCTCTTCCTCCTGCAACAGCAATGGGTTGTTGTAGGCCTCCAAGGAGAACTAAGGTGCATGTATACAACCCATTCTTATAAAATGCAACTTTTTATAAACATGTTTCTGAAAATGCAATTGGGAGTGAGTTTCCATAGTGATGTTGTGTGAGAGAGCAAAGGGAATAAGGGGCTTCCTGCAGGAGACATGAAGCCTAGAGCAGATAACCAGACACTCTTGGCATAGGGAAAAGAAAAGGAGTACTTGTGGCACCTTAGAGACTAACCAATTTATTTGAGCATAAGCTTTCGTGAGCTACAGCTCACTTCATCAGATGCATAAAGTGGAAAGTACAGTGAGGAGATTTTATAGACACACAGTCCATGAAAAAATATACATTGTAAGGAGAGTGATCACTTAAGATGAGCTATTACCAGCAGGAGAGTGGGGTGGGGGGAGAGAAAACCTTTTGAAGTGATAATCAAGGTGGGCCATTTCCAGCACATTTCCAGGCGTTAACAAGAACGTCTGAGGAACAGTGGGGGGGAGGAAGGGGGAGGAATAAACAAGGGGAAATAGTTTCACTTAGTATAATGACTCAACCACTCCCAGTCTCTTCAAGCCTAAGTTAATTGTATCCAATTTGCAAATTAATTCCAATTCAGCAGTCTTTCGTTGGAGTCTGTTTTCGAAGTTTTTTTGTTATAATTCTTGACATCTGAACCAGGAACCTATCCTTGCAACAAAGCCCATTGTCAACTGTGCCCACATATCTATTCAGGGGACACCATTACAGGGCCTAATCACATCAGCCACACTATCAGAGGCTCGTTCACCTGCACATCTACCAATGTGAAATATGCCATCATGTGCCAGCAATGCCCCTCTGCCATGTACATTGGCCAAACTGGACAGTCTCTACATAAAAGAATAAATGGACACAAATCAGATGTCAAGAATTATAACATTCATAAACCAGTCGGAGAACACTTCAATCTCTCTGGTCACTCGATTTCTGATCTCAAAGTGACTATCCTTCAACAAAAAACCTTTGAAAACAAACTCCAATGAGAGACTGCTGAATTGGAATTAATTTGCAGATTGGATACAATTAACTTAGGCTTGAAGAGACTGGGAGTGGTTGAGTCATTATACTAAGTGAAACTATTTCCCCTTGTTTATTCCTCCCCCTTCCTCCCCCCCACTGTTCCTCAGACGTTCTTGTTAACGCCTGGAAATGTGCTGGAAATGGCCCACCTTGATTATCACTTCAAAAGGTTTTCTCTCCCCCCACCCCACTCTCCTGCTGGTAATAGCTCATCTTAAGTGATCACTCTCCTTACAATGTATATTTTTTCATGGTCTGTGTGTATATAAAATCTCTTCACTGTACTTTCCACTTTATGCATCCGATGAAGTGAGCTTAGCTCACGAAAGCTTATGCACAAATAAATTGGTTAGTCTCTAAGGTGCCACAAATACTCTTTCTTTTTGCGAATACAGACTAACACGGCTGCTACTCTGAAACTTGGCATAGGAAGGGAACCTCAAGCAGCTAGAGTCTTATATATATATATGAGTCTTATATATATGAGAGCTAAAGCAGCTGTTGGACAGGGCTGACTCTGGGAAGTCTACAAGGGAGTCAGCTCTAAGCAGGACAGCTGCAAGCCAAACCGTAGGGCAGCCCCCTAAGAACTGAACAAAAAGGACTCCATGAAGGAATCCTTTCACTCACCCAGGAGCTGAGGTAAGAGTCAGGCCTTGGGACAGATTTTTGGGACTAAGTTTTATATTTCAGTTATTTGTCTGAATAAACCCAGACCCCAATAATGGTGGTTGGTGACTGGATGAGCAAGTGTGTGCAGTTTCTGTAAAAGGACCTGGAAGAGAGAATAAAGGGCAGGGCAGTGCAGAGGTACCCCAACCCCAAGATGGCACATGGGGGGCAGCCAACTTGTATACACATTATCATGAGGTCAATGGGTTCTCTTCTGTATCTGGGGAAAACAAGGGAAACGAATAGGAAAGCAAACACATTAAACTCTATTCCAGCTTATTCGATCCTACCTGGAACACAGCAGACACTACAAGGCCTTGCCTACTTTCTTCTTATTGGCACAACCCAAGACATTCTTCCGACTTGCATCTTTCAATACTGTGCATGCTTCAAACGTTCCCTGGGGGCACAGCACACATTTCCAATGTCCATCCACCTGTAAAACAAAGTCTATTCAGAGCCTCAAGGCACAAGTGCACTGAGAAGGTTAGAGTTATCACTTGCCTTCACGGAAAGAGAGAGGAGCATCCATAGGGAATCTCCCCCCTCCCCCTTGCCTGATTTGAAAAGAGAATTATAAAAAGAGATTTAGGTCCAGGAGTGACCTTAGCATTCCTGCTGTCCATGCTGGTGGAGTTCCGGTGAACTGCAGAAACAAAGTTTTTAGGACGTAATTCTACAATGTACTGAGAGATTCACATGACAGCTCCCAATGACTCCCATTAGATAGTGTTAAGAGGATCTTACAGGTATAATTCCTGCCAATGCAAAAATATGATCAGGACTACTCAGAGTTTCCCATATCAACCTCAGCTTTCACTTGGCTAGATCAGGCTCTTAATGTCCCAACTGGATTAATTCACCCCCTGAGTGAATACCCCATCAACCACTCAGCACTCACAAAAATTTCAGAGCAGGACCTAGGCCAGAAAGGTCAAAGAAGAAAGATGACATCCATTATGAAGAGAGGTTCCAGATAAGGAGCTACAAAAGGAAAGAGGGGTGGTCACAGAATAAATAGACAAAAACCATACTCAGATGCTGGGGTGGATGTGAATCTGCCAGAAGAAGAAAAAAATGACCCGGGGGGCAACAACGAGAAAAATCTAAAAGTAGACACTAAAATAAAGTGAAACAAGCAATTAAAATCTCATCTTCATTCTGAGACATGTCATCTAGTCTGACTGGAAATTCTGAGTTAGCTTAATCACTTTTTTGCATAGGTAAGAATTATATTTGCACAATTCCTTTGTCTCTCCTACACTCGTGGAACTAGAGGAGGCTACAGCCAACTGACTTGCAAAGATGTGCTTGCAAATTTGATATGGTGTTGTGTCAGTGTTACTGAGCATCATATTGTGAAGGTTGATTAAGGTGGACAAATTGATCACAATTATGTTGGGCAGCAAGCAAAGCTCTACTGACAATGAAAAACAATTACTCTGATATCATTTTATAAAAAAAAATTAAATGTCCTGAAGCATACAAATTCCTACTGATTTCTTTACTAAGCTTCTCACTGTGATGGAAGCAAAACTGTCCTAATAGGGGAACTACACAAAATTTAAAAAATTAATGTACAGATTAAAAGAGATAGTCATGCAACCTGTTTTAATAGTGAGTAAATGAAGATTGACATTCCTTTGAATTAAAAAAAATTTCACAATAGTCTTTCCTTGAATCACAAGCTTGTTACAACATTATGTGATGATAGCTGAGTCCATGATATAGATTCCCATGTTCATAGATTATAAAACCAGTAGAGATACCCCTGTATAACACAGGCCATAAGATTTCCCTATATTAATTCTTGTTTGAACTAGAGCATATTTTTTACTAAAATACCCAATCTTGATTTTAAAATTGCCAGTGATGGAGAATCCACCTTGTCCCTTGGCAAATTGTTCCAATGGTTAATTACCTCCATTTTTAAAAATTTACACTTTATTTCCAGTCTGAATGTATCTAGCTTCAATCTCCAGCCATTAGATCTTGTTATACCCAGTCCTCCTAGATTATCATTTTTTTCTTCCCCATGTAGTTAGTAACAGGTTGTTTCCAAGTCACCCCTCAACCTCTCTTTGTTAAGCTAAATAGATTGAGCTCTTTGAGTCTCTCATAAGGCACATTTTTGGGTCATTTAATCATTCTCATGACTTCTCTGAACCCTCTCCAATTTATTAACATCCTTCTTGAATTGTGGGCACCAGAACTGAAGACAGTATTCCAGCAATGGTCACACCAGTACCAAATACAGAAGTAATATAACCTTGCTACTCCTACTCTAGATTCTCATTTATACATCCAAAGATTGCTTTTGGCCACAGCATCACATTGGGAGTTTGTAGTCAGGTGATTACCCCAATGATCCCCACATCTTTTTCAGAGTCACTACTTCCCAGGACAGAATCCCCCATCCTGTACATATGGCCTACATTCTTTCTTCATTGATATATCATTTTACATTTGGACGTATTGGATGTATATAAACATATATTGTTTGCTTGCTCCCAGCTTACCAAGAGATCCAGATTATTCTGGATCAGTGACATAGGTGAACAATTTTTCTAGATTATGGGGTTGAAAACACTCATTGGCTGCAGTGGCAACAAAAATAGGCATAAAGAGTAACATTTTCTAAATTACGTAAGTGATTTAGAAGCATAAACCCTATTTTCAAGAGTGACTTAAGAGCCTAAGAGTTAATGAAATCCAATGGGATCCCATTGATGTTCACTTGTGCTGAAACTGGGACTTACCTAAATCATTTAGGTGCTTTGAAAACTAACATATATGAATTACTTAATTCATGTTGGATTTAAAATTACACAGTAAGTTGATTCAGATAGTAGTATTGTAGTCATTTTAACGTTTGCATACATTCACCATGTTCTTGTGTCTTTTACTGATCATTACTAGTCAATATACCCAGTCAGAGGTAGTAGACACAACTCCATTAGGGAATTAAGAGTTTGTGATATGCAGGTAATGCTCAATAATATAATTTCACTCTATTTGTCCTTTGAGTGAGAGGTCTACCAATAGAAATGAGTGAGCAATTCATAACAAATATTGTATTTCATGAATTTAGCTTTTTTCTGTTTGCAGATTGTCCTCTAACAATTTTTTCAAATTTATCCTTTATTCAATTAAATGTTTAGCATATTTCATTTACTCTAGGACTTGCTCTTTGAAAACTGAAATGTAAGTTGTCCTGTTTCACTGTAATGGACATTAGTGAAATGATATTGTTTGATTCCTGACCAAATCAATGAAACTCTTATTAAAAAAATTATGGTGTAAATATTCACAGAAAGCAAATTTCACATTTTGCAAGTATTCAAACATGTAAGCTTAAAATTCACTTTGCACAAGCTTTTTTGCTAGTAAAACTCAATCACATGAACATTCAGACAGCAAACAGTAAAAGGGCATATACACAGTTACTATGGTGATGAGAGCCATTATAAGAACCTGAACTGAATAGAACACAGCTAAACTGAACTCATTTTAAAATTCACATGAATATTCACATTTTTGCAGTGTTCACTCAGCATCCTCAGCTGGTGTATCTTGGCATTGCTTTATTGACTTCAGTGAAGCTGTGACAATTTACACAGGGTGAGGGGCTGACCCATCAAGTTTTAGAAAGTAACTGAATTTCCATCTAATTATTTCAAACTCCAGAATTTTATTTTCATGACCATCTCACTCATTTTACTCGACTGCACCCACTGAACATTGGGGACAACAGAAAACTGCTGGCTGTCAACCAAAACTGTTGTGAACAAATGTCCAGGACAAAAGAGTGAGGACAAACACCTGCTCACATCTAGGTCCTTTAAACTGCCTGCAAACCAAACATAAAGGGGCTAAAATGGGACCTTATCTGCTCAGTTATCGTTTACATCCAAAAGATAGCAGAGTTTGCATTACAATGTCACATCTCAATGGAAAAGAACGTGCCTACTTCTCTGAACGACATATGCAGAGTATTCTTCTATTCAGAATACTCAGTTGGAGAGTAATGAGATGCAGAGTCAGAAGTTCAGTTTTTCCAAAGCAAGAAAGCAGTGGTAGCCTGAGCAGTTTTTCATAATCTATGACAAAAAATGTGATATAGTTACAGAAATCATAAACCCAAACACAAATACATCCAGAAGTAAAAAAATGTCTGCACTGCTTCAGACTATATTTTCCTTTGCACAGACTTAAGCAATTCAGGATAGTTTGGTTCATCCAATCAAACTTTTTCACATATTCAGAAGAAAATAAAGTACTATTTGTAAAAAGCTGAAAAACTAATAATCATTTGCAGAATGCCTATTGACTACAGATATGTAACCAAATGACAGTCTGCCATCCAATGACATTTATGATGAGAAAATATTGATTTAAATATGAAGGCTTGACATTAGAAGCATTAATAGGTTCTTAAAATGGATTAATTTTTGCTCTTCTATAATCTGACCAACCACTGTAAAAAACAATATTTAATTCATGTCTCCAAACTATCCTATTACAGTTACATGCGTGCATGCCAAGTACTCATCAAATCCTCCAGCAGTATTTGAGATAAAGTGCAAGGCAGTCACTACATTCACTATAATGAGGGAAAGATAGAATTTATTTACCACTCCCCTCTCAGAGCTTTCCTGTGGTTTGTAAATCGCAGCCCAGAAATGGGGAATCAAAAGTGCACCACCACAGGAGAAGCTTCTGGAGTCTAATGAGTAGGACTGGTCAAAACTTTTTTTAAATAGAAAATAGGGGTTTGGGAAAAAAATGAAATTTTTCCATAAGAAAAGTGTCTGCTTTCCATGGAAAATTTTGACTTTTCATCAAAAAACTGAAAATCAAAACTTTCAATTCAGAAATGTTGTAACATTTAGTTTTGACCATTTTTGACTGCAACAAAATATTTTGCTATTCCCAAATATGGGAGAGGTCTTGACCTGTACCTGCAAAACTTGTGCTTGCATATGTTCACCCACATTTGTTCATGTAAATCTGTTAATTATGAAAACTGGGTATTTAGGGATGCAAATATCATGGGAGACATATATTTATGTATTTTTATACATCACATATTTTTTCAGGCACTAGAAGCCCTCTATCTTCTGACACACTGACTGTAAAGACAGCACACAGATTTTCAGAATGTAAAGACCAAGTTCCATGCAGACCTATGTTACTGAAATGCACACGAGTCAGCTGATTGCATAAAAAAAAGGAGTCTCGGTGCCTAAATATCCATATGCTCGTGATGTGGCATATAGCTGCCTAATTTGCATGCACAATCACTATCACTGCATGCACAAATATCTGTGCAATTGTATGTGTGGACTTTTACCTTCAAATTTTAATATGTGGTCCTATATGTACACTGTCATCTGTTCTCTCTTCTTAAACCATGTTTAATTATAAAGAAACAAATAAGTATGATTTTGAAGGAGTGCATGTGACAAGTAAAAGTATTTTTGAAATAAATAGTTTATGGAGCCTATATATTGTGCATAGCATACAGTTTGACTGTTAACAGTTAGAACTCTGGCAGCACTGAAAATTTCTCACTGTTCCATTCTATTCTTTATTAGTTTCTTATACTACTCTCATCCATCATCAGATTATCTTCCAGAAGTGCATTAAGTCATATGACTAGCATTTGTCCTACATTTGTCCCTTTTCTCCCTTTGCTTCTCCAGGGGGGAAATTATGATTTTTAAAATTTGTTTGGATTTTTTAAAGTTACTTATCTCTATTGTTCTATGTGTGTGAATGTATTAAAGGTGTGGTCACAGAAGCGCATGGAATGGTGAGTGATGAAGGTTGAGGCGATTCTTGTATGCTATGGGATTTTATTCCACAGCCTCAACTGAACCCCTGAGAAAGCTCAGACTCAGGAAGTCACTTTACCTTTGCAGCTCCATTGGGCTGAAGTGCAGAGTAGTCAGTCATGGTCCCCATCCTGGAGCCCAGGGCAGTGGGCATTTGGAAGGACAGAGATGCTGAATTTGTCTGGATATTCTATGGGAAGTTGGTGGAGAGAGTGGACGACAGGTGTGATGAATTTACAGTGAATCTGTGTTGCTGAGTAGATTTGCTCACTGGCTTTCAGTGGTCAAAGATGTATTACCCATGTCCATAATCCACAGGCATGACTCTTTTTCCTCCTTTTGTTCATTCCCATTTTGTAACAGCAATAACTTACTGCCTGTAACACAAAACAGACTGTGTATTCCTGGATTATTGTTCTTCTTGCTCTCATGCCTCAGCCCACACCCAAAGCATGCAATATTCCTTTAGAAATGCACTGCTGGTTTTGTTTTATAGTCTGAAAGGAGCATCTTCATTCTCATATTTACAATCCCACATGTAAATGTCATGCATGCCTAAATTCCACACACAGCCTGTTACAACTTTCTTAAACATGCATTTTTCTTTTCAAGACACAGATGAAATGTGCATCCCAATAGTCACAATTTACTGTATTTATTAATAGAGTTATTCCCACTCATCTGTAGTTACTCAGAAAAAATCATGATCCTATAAGTGTGTGTGTCTGTGTAATTTGTGATAAACATATATTATGGAAAAATTGTATCTGCCCACCATACATCTTTCAAAGTCTATTAACTGTAACATTTTTAAAGAAATACTGTACTATGATTTTATAGACTTAATGTACCAGTACAGTAGCTAAACACTTCCTGAAGAGATAGCATTGTTAGCCTCTCCCATTATAACTTCTCAGTCTTTAGTCTAAGATCAAGTGTAGTATCAGTTGAACGTCTGTCTATGTAGAGTCTATATCCTGCAAACAAAAGGCATGGACAAGGCAATCTAATATGCCTTTTTTACCTCTAACGTCTAAATTTTCAAGTGGTTTGGGGGAAAACTTAGGGGGAAAAGGGGTTGCTACATTTTGTACTTTTAATTATAAGCCAGCAGTCAATTACCTGACACATACTGATGTCCAATATATGTATGGGAAGCTAGCAAAAGAGCTAGTCAATCATAAATATCAGCATTTCTGGCCCAGCCGTATCATTTCCTAAAATATAGGAACAGTACATTCTTAAATAAGGTATTCACAAAAATAGTATAATTCCCAGTGCACCTAAATAAGGTAATAGCAACTGGGTAATTTCAAAAGATTTGAAAGTTTGTCTCAGATTCACATCAGTGTGGATGCGCTTAATCTCTTCAGAGCCTAAAGCTAATATTAGTTTTAGAAAAGTCCATACCTCCACCTTCAGGGCCTGCTCCTAATCCCAGCCAATAGGCACCTAGTCCATAGCCAATTGATTTCATAGAATCATAGAATCATAGAATATCAGGGTTGGAAGGGACCCCAGAAGGTCATCTAGTCCAACCCCCTGCTTGAAGCAGGACCAATTCCCAGTTAAATCATCCCAGCCAGGGCTTTGTCAAGCCTGACCTTAAAAACCTCTAAGGAAGGAGATTCTACCACCTCCCTAGGTAACGCATTCCAGTGTTTCACCACCCTCTTAGTGAAAAAGTTTTTCCTAATATCCAATCTAAATCTCCCCCACTGCAACTTGAGACCATTACTCCTCGTTCTGTCATCTGCTACCATTGAGAACAGTCTAGAGCGATCCTCTTTGGAACCCCCTTTCAGGTAGTTGAAAGCAGTTATCAAATCCCCCCTCATTCTTCTCTTCTGCAGGCTAAACAATCCCAGCTCCCTCAGCCTCTCCTCATAACTCATGTGTTCCAGACCCCTAATCATTTTTGTTGCCCTTCGCTGGACTCTCTCCAATTTATCCACATCCTTCTTGAAGTGTGGGGCCCAAAACTGGACACAGTACTCCAGATGAGGCCTCACCAATGTCGAATAGAGGGGAACGATCACGTCCCTCGATCTGCTCGCTATGCCCCTACTTATACATCCCAAAATGCCATTGGCCTTCTTGGCAACAAGGGCACACTGCTGACTCATATCCAGCTTCTCGTCCACTGTCACCCCTAGGTCCTTTTCCGCAGAACTGCTGCCTAGCCATTCGGTCCCTAGTCTGTAGCTGTGCATTGGGTTCTTCCGTCCTAAGTGCAGGACCCTGCACTTATCCTTATTGAACCTCATCAGATTTCTTTTGGCCCAATCCTCCAATTTGTCTAGGTCCTTCTGTATCCTATCCCTCCCCTCCAGCGTATCTACCACTCCTCCCAGTTTAGTTGACTCCCATTGACTTCACTGGGCTTTGGAGCAGGTCCTAAATGCAGACGTGTAGAACTATTTGGCCCTATTGACAGCAATGGGAGTTTTGTCATGGACTTCGTGGAGTCAGGATTTCACACTTTAAAAAACAAACTGCCCAGTGATTGCTTTGGAAACTCAGCAAAGGCTCTAATTTCAGTTCCAGCCACAAGTGTAGATTGTGTAGATTTCTGGGAGAAGGAGGGGTGGGAACCAGCATGACCTGAAATAACAGCTTCAGCAATGGACTAAATATCCCCATATGGAGACTGAGAAAGTATGGCCCAGACAACAGCTCAGGGTAGTGCACAACCAGTCCGGGGATTAATAATTTATAAGAAGCTCTTCCAGTTTGTTTGGAATATAAATGAACATAGCCTTGTCATATTTAAGGCAATTTCTCTCACTTGCAATAAAATGGGAGCCCATCTTTCCTGTTTCGGCTACTACCTATGGTAATATAGTTATGCAGAGTTCTTGGTGACTCAATCCCTTTTCAGCTATCAATCATCCAAAATAATTTTCTATCATATTAAAATCAAACAGCTAGAGCAGATTCCTTCTATTTGAGAGATAGCATCAGTCAATAAAGGAGTCAATTCTGCATATGAGACTTATAGCTGTCAGGCTTTTCATACCATCTACTTCAAGTTTCCAAATACAATATTCATGTTGGTATCAGGCATTTGACAGCCACCTGTCGCAACATCTAATGGGATTTTCTGATCATAACAAAGGTCTGAATCCTGTCCAGGTGTCTGTTAATTGACCTAGAGAGGAAGCAATTCACTGTGTGCAGCCAGCTGGCCTTGTTTAGATAAATCAATGCAGAAGAGTGAGTTGGGAGGGGTTAAGCAGAGATCAGCATTAATCTGCAAATGTGTTTTCGTCTTTGAAGGATTTATATTAATCCAGTTTTGCCTCTGAAGCCACTGATTTGAAGTAATCATTATAACAAAGCTTTATTTGTGTGCAATACAGTTCAAGCCATTTAATAGCATATTATTTATGATCAATAAAACTGTGGGAAGATTTCCAAATGCAAATAATGACAAAAATATTTTAACAAGTGAGAGTGGTTTTGTTGTGGGGGTTGATGAGGAAGGTGACATTTAATAATATAACCCTATTTCCTTTTTCTTTTTTTAATTTCTGCTTGTAATCTTGCCCAATACACCCCAGAAGAAAAAGAATGAAAGAGGAATTGATAGAAGGATATAGACAGGGACCACCATCCACAAAAGGAATTCAAAACAATCTTCACATCTTCAAGATTAAGACAAAAATTAGGTTTACCTCTAAAATCCCAGATATTAGGGAGATGATGGGATTACAGTTTCAAGGTAATCTACAGAGTGCAATCCATCCATTTTAAACATTTGAGGTGATAGATGTTTTGGTTAGAAAGCCAAAACGACACACAGATGTGAGGCAATTGCTGCAATTAACCATCCTTTATTTTCAACTAATCTTGATAAGAATGCTGTGGAGGAACGAAAGTCCGGTTTATTTTCGCCTTCTCTGAGACAACCCTTAAGAACATAATGTTCTGGGAACAGTATTATCAAAACAATATGATTAGGTGATGGTTCTAATGCCACAGTCCTGCTCTGAAAGAATACCATTTTGTGAAAGATTAGGGACATAACGTACACAAGTCCACCTATCCCAAAAGTTAGGCTCAAAGGACCGACGTTCTGGAGACAATTTAGAGATTTTGGCTTCTGGTCCTTGGCTGTGCTAATACACTTTTGTAGTCTTCCAGTGACATTGTCCAGCCTAAACCAGTATCGGCAGACATGGCAGGTGTTAGGAAAGTTGTGTGCACTCTTAATAGGAGGACGACCCCAGCCTAGGGAAATCCTTAGCAGATATAGAGCTAGAGTGATAGTGTGACTGTGGTTAACGGCGTGGCTAGTGGTCTCCTGTGCTCTGATGTGCCTTAACTACCTGGCAGCCTTTAGGCTGCTCTAACTTGCCAAGGGATATTGTAGTATAAACTACATGCATGCAAGGCTGGATGCATGTACAATTCAACCATCTCAGTCTGCTATGGTCTCTGAAACTCATGCCTCCCCTCAGTTGATATGAATGCACTCATTATGGCATTTACATTGTCCATTACATTTGGACAGCCTTTGGTCGCTTTCTAGAACTATAGCATGTAAATGAATTGTCCTTCAAAGGCCCTCTTGCAACCGCTACTGGTCTCTGTGCTTGTACAAGAGGTGAATGCATGTCTAATGATTCAGTGAGGTACTGTATCAGTGACAGATGTGGATCATAGGTCAGTTACTGTGCAATGTATTATTCCACTTTCAATCTTAAATTGGAATTCAATTTTCCTTTCAAGAATTCTATTTATATTGTAATTTTAATTAATAATTAAAGAGTATCATTATAATCATCATCATAATTTCTTGGTGCTATATAGCTAGAGTCCTCTGGGTGCCCATACAAATTTTAGAAAACTAAATTGCAAGAATGGTATAAAAGTAAGGCAATAAGCCCTCAAACAAGTCTCCAAAGTCTGAACGTACTGTATATGAAACATCCAACTCACAATGAATAAAATGAACTGGCCAAATCAAAACCAGCCTTCAGTACTGCTTTGAATGATACCAGGGTTGTGATCAGTCAATATTCAAGAGAGGTTTCTACATGCCCTCTCAAAGTTATGGGCCTTGATTCGAGCCTAGGCTACACTGACTTCCTCTGCTGTAAAATCCAGGCACAGGGTCTCTGTCAGTGCTTGATATGAGGTTGCACTGGTGGAGGTCAACATGGGGGCCTTGCAATCAGGCAGAACAGCCCCAAAGCAGGCCCCAGCCATACTTTAAAGCTGCCCTGCCATCAGCAGATTCCCCAAGGCAGGACACTCCATTGAAAACACTCATTCAGGCACAGCAATCCTGCTATTATAGAGAATAATAATTTGGACCACTCTGCAAGAGTGGGATAAATTGAAGCTCACCATCTGATAGCAATCA